GAGAGTATTCTTTACTTTTTCTTTCTTTTTTTCTAACATTGAGGACAATGTTTAGTTTAATTTCGGAGGGGGGTGAATTATTTTTTTGGTAATGAATACTTTGTGAAAGTTTTAGATCTAATTTTATTTGCATGCATATTTATTTAGGATTAGTTGATAAAAGAATTTATTTCTTGTTTGAACCGTAGGAATCTAGAAGTAAAGTTATGCCAATTTTTTCAATGATTTTGTTTTATCCAATGATAATAACTAGTTGTCATGAATTTTTAACGTTTGGTTAATAAGGTTTTTGTTTGGATTCATGCTAAATGCTTTTGTTAAGTATCATTGTTAGGATGTGATTTCCACAATTTTGAGCATTATATCTTTTACTTTGAATTATTATGAATATATAGAGAAGGTTTATATTAATGTAAATTTTAGATTATTTCATAAATTCTAAAATTTGATTAATTTTCTCTCGAGACAAAATCCTAGGCAATCCTTAGTTAGGGGCATGATTTAAGCCATCTTTGAACCGTTTGAGCCTAAAAAGCCTACCTTATTAAATTTTTATTCCTAGAATACCTCTTTTGAGCATAATTTCCTATTTTTTTGTTTAACTACATAATAATTGAGCTTAGCTTTAAAACTAATTTTTCAATTTTGCAACCCTCACTCCTAAGCATGTACATTGTTTTAGGAAATATAAATTGAGCTAAATGTTGAAAAAAGGTTGAAAGGTGATGTTGATGAAAAAAAAAAGTTCAAAATATGAAAAATAACCCCACTGCCTACAATATAAGGAGAATAAGTTTAGGGGTGTGAAATTGAGAAAAAAAATGTGTTGAATGAAAGAAAAGTTCAAATGTCGAAGAAAAGGTGTACTTGGAGAAGGAGAATAGAGCTCTATATATAGGTCCTAGAATAATTATGTGCTTACGGTGATTTGAGCCACATTAATATCTTTTATCATACCTTGACCCTAGTCATACATTATAAGCTTTATAAAGTCCTGTTGATCCCTAGCTTTGTATTGATCTAGACTAGTGGAAAGAGAGATAAAAAGTATACCCATGAAAATCTAGAACTAATTTGAAATTTTTGTTCGTATAAACTCATCTGGATGTCGTGATATTCTTGGTAAAAGGTTACACACACACACGAAAATCCATTCAAGAATGTGCTTGCGTTAGAATTGAAACATGAATTTAAATGATGCCTATTTCTTTCCTTAGGTTAATGATTGATGGACATACTTTTGAGGAAATTATAAGGAAAATCATTGAGTTGATGCACTTTATCTCTAGTAGTATTAGTAATAGTAGTAGTAGTAGTAGTAGTAGTAGTAATGATATTTATTTTAGTTTTCTTTAACTGAATTTGATTTTTGTACGTTAGTTTCTTTTCTATGTTTTGCTCGAGGACTAGCAAAATGTTAAGTTTGGGTATGATGACTCTATGATATAGAGTTATTTGAACTTAATTTTGATAATAAATTAACGTAGTTCTTGTAGTAATGCATAGAAATTAGTAAGTTTTATTTAATTATTTTAAATTAGGTGAGTCAATCTAATCATGGTTAATTTTATGCTTAATTTGGTGTAAATGTGGTTAAGATAGGTTGTTATTGATTTTATTTGTGCTTTTGTAGGTGTTTGATGAAAGAAGAATTTTAATGTAAGAAGGAGAGCAGTTTTGAGGTATAAACTTGCACTGCATATGTTTCAGTATTTTGGCCATAACTTTCTCTATAGAGTTCCCAATAAAGCGATTCTTGGACAACTGGAAAAATAAGAGAAAATGTACAACTTTCATGTTTACACTTAGTTTGGCCTGGAAGATGGTCAAATGTCTTGTCGAAGTTGATGCACTATTGCAATCTTAAAGCAATTACGATTTCTGTTAATTAATTGGATAAGGCTGCGACTCACATAATCTGATGAGGAAATCCCAGCTAAAATTGACTTCTGTCTTCACCCAACTTGGTCTAACTTTAAAGCCTATAAAAACAACCTTTCGAAGGACTTGAAAAAAAAAGAAAAAAAAGAACAAAGAAATACCAAATTAAAAGCTGAGAGTCAAGCCACAAAGTCAGTGAAGCTAAGAAGAATTTGAAAGATTCAAGGAGGTTTGGAGATCAAGAATATAACTCTTGAGTTTTCTATCTTTTCTTTTATTCTCTTATTTTCTTGGTTTTGTTTTAATGTTTAAATTTTATTTGATGATGATGCGTGACTTGATAGCGAACTAAGTTTTTTATCTAAGATTATGATTGAACTCAATATGTAGTCTGAATGATTTATCTCTCTTTTACTCATGTTTGATAGATTTAGGTTGTTTATTTTATTCTATTTTTAATGCTTCTAATTGTCTGATCACCAATTAGATTGAATTGGAAACCTAGGTTAAACCTTGACGAAGGAGATTTAGATAGACCTTGAATAAAATAGTGTATGATCGAATGCACTTAGTTGATTAGGTGACTTGATTTGCATATAAGGTAGATATGCACCTATAAGCCATACATAGCCAAAATTAGAGCACAAACTGAATGAATCTTTCTTCAATATAATTTGTATAGACATATAATAAATTAATTGAGAGAAATAGAAACTTGTAAATAATTTAAGACGCTAGGTTAGCAACTTGATCTATTAAACTAAGTTAAAAGAGAGAGACAATATTCAGATGAAATATCGAGAGATATCATAATCTTAGGTCAGGTAGTCATTCACATTTAATAAAGTAAATTTGCATAGATTTTAGATTAGTTTTAGTTCTAGTTATTAGTTTATTAGTTTCAAATCTTCCTTTTCAATTGTTTAGATAAAATTAAAGTGTATTAATTTTAGTAGTTAATAATAAAGATTAATTCAATTTTTTGTGAGATCGACACTCGACTCATCTCTGTATTATCTTTACGATACGTGCACTTGCATGAGTAGAAAATTGAACAACATATATGTATTGATGAGTAAAAGGCTTCTTTAATCATATTGGGCCATACCCATATAGGTCTTTGTGTCATCCATCTCTCCAAAAATGGGATGTGACATATTTTGTATATGTTGGTATTGATATACATTAAGTTATAGCCATAGGTTTAGGCACATGATGAGCATTTGTAGTCTGATTACATCATATGCATGGGTCGAGCACATGGAATGTTCATGGAAATGTTAATGTCGAATACTTGATTAAGATTCATGCCATGGTATACATATATATATATATACATTTATATATACATGTATATTTAAATATTATCTTGTGGTTATGGTAATATCTCCAAGGTTTTATGAGGCTTGCTTAGGTCTAGTAGACATTGGTCTACTTAGGCCTTTGCATCGGTCATGGCCCGCAATTGGTTTGTGAAAGGGGGGTTGACAATGGAGGATGGTGGAGGGGTCGGATTAGGGGCAAAATGCTACTCAACAGCATTAACGGGTGGGGGGAAAGAGAGAAAATAGAGAAATAAGGTGCATGCCAAAAAAAACAGGGCCCAATCGGGCTTCTTATATTCCAAATCACAGACAAAAATTTCATTCATAATTAAAAAACCCTACATGAACATTACCGATGAAAAATTCTATCGGTAATGAGGTTGGTAACTTTACCAAGAAACCAATTGAATATTTCATCAATATATTTCATCAAAGTCACCACTACTAGTGGATGTTGTTGGTCGATATTCTTCGCGCTTCACTATTCATTGCATGTAAAGCAATTACCAATGAAGTTAATTTCATCGGTAAATTTCCCTGGAGTCACCATTATCGAAGAATACGTTTGGTTGGTATTCTTCACTTTTCGCTATTCCTCTTGCGCAAAAAATTTACCGATCAATTCCTGGCAGAATTAACTCTATTGGCAACTTTCGTCGATAAAGTCCACCTCATCTTTTGATCTGTGTTTCATCGGTAATTTCTACTAGTTCCATCAGTAAAGACTTCAATTTTTTTTTTTGTAGTGGAAAAACAAAAAAGGACTCAGCTTACTTAGAATGTAAACAACCTAATAGAGAAAAATCACTACTCTCTTCCTTGCTTGCTTTAGATTTTTTGGATAGATTTTTTGAACACTGGCCAGCCGCTTTCAGGTTTTGGATGTTTGCTTGCTTGCTTGTTTGTTTTAAAGTGAGACCAAAAGGTGATTTTACGGTGAGATTGCTTTTTTGTCTTAAATATATTAACACATGGAATAATTTGAAATAAAGTATCAAAAAGCAACGCAGGCACAAATTTGTGAAAAATAAGCAAAAACATGGTTATCCAATGCCCGGTTTTGGCAGCTTTTCCATCAGGAATCAAGTTAAGAACTAAAAGCACCATGAAATTTGAAATTGAACATGTTCTAATTAATACCTGTTTTACTGTATAGATTATTCATGAGGGACTGGAACGATCTTCCATTGTTGTTATTGCCATGGGTGCTTTCTTTGAAGCAACCAATGCGCTGTTGCACCTCCACCTCACAATAAAAGCAGCTCATTCTCCTTTATAGGAATTCTCAAGGCTCTTTCCAATGCAGAAACTCTGTGCTCCACAAGAAGAAAAATGAAAAAAAAAATGAAAGGGTATTTTTATCCAGCTTACAAACATAGAAGAAACAGAAATATTGTTCATATATAGCGAAGCTAGGCGTACTTGCATTCATCACCATGGCCAGTATATCAATTTCGTTTTGCTAAATTTAGTTGTTTTCTTTTTATCTTAAGAATTAAATGGTTTGAATAAGACATACACTTTATTTCTTTTAACAAATTTCCAACAATCATGTAATCTAAATCAAATCATATAATCTGAATTGAGCAAATGATTTTGGTGTTTTAATCATATTCTAACATCCGTTAATGAAAATTTGAATTTTGAAATAAACTGTCCATTTTTAATAATAATAGATCTAAAATGAATTAATGCAATAGTATTTTACCTCTTTTTTCTTTTTGGTTAATGTACTTAGTTATGAATATACAAGATACACTGGAATATTTAACTCATTAATTGATACATGAACTCTTTTAAAAAAGTAAAATTTGAATGTCCCTTTCCTCAAATATATGTAAAAATATATATACAAGGTTACAGCAATGAACCTAATATAATCACAAAAAGACAATTAGAAGGAAAGAGGAAAGAAGCACGGTTTGCTACAGATTCCGCAATGCTCTACAAAGTAGTTCAGTTTTTGTGTCTAACCCCAATTCAGACCTACAGGTGAGCTCTTCTGCATCTGCTTCAAATATATAAATGTGCTGCGTCAAACAACCAACAAAGCAACAAAATTTTCCTTGTCATCTTTGGTTTCATGGAAAACTGGACATTGAATTCCAGACATCAGAAGTAGAATACTGACCAAACAGGACTGCTTCATGCCATAGGTTTAACATATTGAAATGTACTCAGGGCATTGCAGAGACTCTACCAATAAGTCATTCAGATGGTCTATTTAAACTTGAATGCTCACTCTCCATGGATATAAGACACGCCAGCCTATCATAAACCTGTTATCAAATTTGAAAAGTCAAATTATCCTTTTCCAGGAAAAGTTTATACTTGGAAGTGTACACTACTGCATCACATACCTCCGAAAGCTGCTTACTATTGTTCTGATTCTCTTCGGCATCTTGTTTACTTCTTGATGATGAGTCATACCTAGATGGCATGTCAGACACCAAGTTAGTTAAAGACAGATACACTTGGTTCTAAAGAGAAAATAATGTATAAGACTCAAATTTAGAATTACATGACGATAAATTTGGTCAAAATTGTATCTATATTTTTTTCCAAGCAAATGACACTACACAAGGCTTTCTTACTTACCAATCTCGTGGAATGCCAGCTTCATCTCGAGCTGAATAATTAAAAGGCCCTTTCAACTCCAAATTATACTCTTGTAATAACTCTACATGGTTTCACAAAGAAGTTCTACATAAGAAATTGCACAACTTGAATGGAATTTTTTATTCTAGGCAGAACATAACCTGCCTTGAAGTGACACAATGCTACTGACCTTTAAATGTTGAGCATGGAGCACGATTCATTTTACGACAGATTGAGATAAACCAGAACATACCAACAGCTACATGTGCAATTTCCTCTTCAGCAATCCTAGCTACAATGCTAGATGTCCTGTGATCCCCAAAGCCAACCATTTTTTGCACCAAGCGTGGCCCAGCATCAAGACCCCTAGCCTCCTACATCCATAAATACAAGTGTGTAAATTTTTAAACCAAGTTAAAACAAAACAAATTTGCATCTGTATGCAGATACAAATATCAAGTTATGTTTTAGGAAAGATCTAAGGATTAACTGCAGCTTTTACTCTTTCCTCCAAATATTAAATAAGCAGCTACTCAGTTGAATGTAACAAAAGTTCAAGGGCTTATTGAGTATCATGCCAGTTTTTAAACTTCAGCTTTGACCAAGATTAGATTATACTTGCTCAGTTAGGAACTGCCCTGAGCATGACTCCAGCCTATTCAGGCAGCATACTGGACATGGGAAACATATGTTTGTACAAAGTTAAACACCAAATTGAGCTAGGTTCACGAAAACTTCCATATGAAATGTCTCAAATAAAAGTCAATGCTATGCAAATCTCAAAACTGGAATAAAATCTGATCAGCCCACTTCACTACTCAAAGCCAAAGCATGATTTCAAAGGGTACTTTAAGTGAGATTGCTGGATAGTTCTGAGCCATGGAAACTTTGTAAAGATGATGTTATCGTGAAATGGAACATTCCATTCATGTCCCCCCACCCCCAAACAGGGAGAAAGGGCGAGAGAGGTACTATACTTTTCAAGCTTCTTCTACTTATGTAGAAGTTTTAAGCTGTTAACAGTAAATTCCTAGGCAAAAAAAACTTCAAGTTTATTAAGAAAACCAAGAACTGAACCCAGGACAAAGACCATGTTTGTACATTAAGATTTTAGAATGTGCTAATACAATGTCCGCAAGATTCTAACGAAGATATTTTTATTATTGACACAACTTTGCAGTTATCAAGAATCATTCATGTGAGTAATGGACAAAGGACAGGAGCCAAGAATTGTTCGAGTGAAAGGAAAAGGACAGGTTGGGCGATTACCATCTACAGATATTGCATCTTAAAATAGAACAGAACTAAAGGTTTCCTTTCACGAAATCATAAAATAAAGTAAAAGCAAAAAGTGGTTTTGTTTCAAGTATAAAAACATTGGCCAAGAGTAAAAAGATTACCTGTACTAATGGGATGGCAGCCAAACGAGCAGCAACATTATTTGATGATTTCTCACACTCTCTCCAAAGTAAGTTATGAGCAGGCATATCTCCATAACTAGTCAAAGGACAATAAATTGAATGGAAGTGAAACATGAAGAATATAAATCAATAAGGTGTGCCTATTTCAACATGTTTTGGTTTCTTCAATGCAAATGTAAGTTATGATGTGAATAAGCAAGACCCACATATCAGTAGATGTGACTAATTTGCACTGAAGAAGAAAAAGTGTGTGGAAACAGGGCCTCCCAATTAATAAATGCACCATACATAGGCAAAACTCTTTTCTTTTAACATGGTAAAACCTCTGATTATGGGCATGCACATATTCATAACTAGTTAAGGATAAACAGCTTCAAGACATCTAAATATGAAAAATAACAAATTAACATGCAATACAAAGCAAGAACTCTGCACACCTGAAACCAATCTCAGCAAGTCTTTGTGAACACCAAGCATAATGGCGGCTCTCGTCATCAGCAACATGAGCAAAGTCAGCAAAAAATTGTTCCCCGAGAATCTCACAGAAGGGAGAAAATCGAACAACAGTATCCCATGCCAAATCAATTGCATTTAGCTCCACATGAGCAAGGTTATGAAGCATGTAAGCGTTAAGAGGCAGTCTAGAGTTTTTGGGGACCGGAATCTCCTTTGGGGAAACCTACATTTCACCAAAAACAAAAAAAGACCAAAAAATGATCATTTTCACCTAACGAAATTATAGTAATTGAGAGTAGGCAACATCCAAGTGAATAATTAATCAGAAAGATGTATTATACATGCAGTTTGCTTGAAAGTACCAACTCCTCAGGGGAACTATAATATTGTAATAAAAATAAATAACCAAGACACTTCCTGTTGAACCATGGAAACTTTCAATAATCATATGCAGTAAGGCAAGACTATCAAAGCCAGATAAGACTAAGAATCAATGAAATAATGAGTAATAGTTTTTTAAAGTATTAGAACCTAAAATTTCAAGAAAAATCACAATCTCTAGCATTAAGTTTGGTATGAGGGAAAGAAGATAAGAAAGGGAGATGAAGGAAATTAGTATTTCCTTCCTTTGGTAGGAAGAAATAAGAAGGAAAAAGAATACATTTATTTGCAACTTCTCCTTTTCCCTCCAAATCTAATCCTTGCAAATTAAGAGAAAAGCACTCTTTCAACTTAAGTTAATCATTTTATTTATAATTTTACCCCTAATCTCTTCCTTTCCCTCTGTTTTTCAGTACACAAACGAAGGAAAATAACTTTCCTTCCAATCCTTCATTTTCTTCTTTCCTCACCTTTTTACCATCCCTCTATCTTCCTTCCTTACTACCAAACATAGCGCAAGACTTTTAATCTCATCAATCTTAAGTAAAATGATGAATAAAAGAGTAAATATCACACTGCAGAAACTCCAATTCTAAGCGGTATATTTTCAATCAGAAACTTGTCGAGAAATAGAAAACAAACCAATTGAGGCTTAGGAGGGCGAGCAGGTCGAGAAGGAGGCTGACAGACCCCAATGGGCAGATTCTCATTGCGCCACCTGGAGAAAGCCAAATGAGAGAGCTTGGATTTGGTAAGAGGGTCAGCGGTAGAGAGAACCAGAGCACCAAGCTCTGCAAGAGAGGAACCAGTAGCCTCCAGAGGGCTGTTAGGAGTGTCAGCGTCTTTGGAGGAGTATTGGGACTGTAACAGAGGCCGAGGGCCATTGGGTCCCCAAAACCGGTCCTCGTTTAGTGGGCTCTCTCTCCAGCTTTGGAGACCTGACCATTGAGAGAATTGCGAAGAAGAAGAAGAGGAAAAAAGAAGTTTGGTGTTGTGAAAATGGTGAGGAAGAGATGAGAACCTCAGCTTGGGGACGAGCATGGTTCTGATTTTGACCTGCAGTTTGTGTAATTGCGGTCTCTTGTTCAAATTTTTTGTCAAATTTTTATTTACAAAATTATGAAATTTAGATGATTTTAATTATTATCAAATTTAATTTGATTTAATTTATATTCTAATCTAATTAAATATTAAATATTACAAATATATTTTTAATCAAGTATATTTTAACTTCGAGATAAATATATGAAATTATTTCGGTTAAAATAAATTAATTACTATTAATTTAAAAAAACCTAACGATAATGAAATTGATTAAAACAAAACAAATTAAAAAAGGAAAAGCAGAAAAATGGAAAAAAATAAAGAACCTGAGTGCATTTTTTGGTATGTAAAGTAAACTTTGACCAAGTTAGTTTGACTAATAGAATCCTAACATTAATAAGACGAGGATTAATGAGAGTGAGCTTGTAAATAAATTTATTCTTCAAGAGAAACCAAGAGTGTTGTTTAGATTAATGTGAGAAATGACAATTATTTTTTTAATTGAATTATATATGATTTACCATATTTAATACGTAATTAAATTATAATTCAATTTATAAATTTTAAGTTGATAGCTTGTAATGGTGATTTTAAAATTAATTAAATCTGTCCATTGTACTTATATTTAATTAAAATTCAGAATTTTGAAGCTAAAAGAAAAAAAAACCTCAGGCAAAAAAAAAAGGAGAAATAAACAAATATGAACTGGAGAAATAAATGATTGTGGGCATCCAACAAAAGGCTTGTCCTAGAGCAACACTCAAAGCCAGTTTGCAAGGCCTATCTGCTATGACTTGGACCCTGATAAAATATACCACAAGAAATTCTCATATAGTGACGAAAATGTAAGCAAGGTGTTATCCAGATTTATTAACGAGTCTGAGAACTGGATGAAGCTACTTGCCCCTCGCAAAAGACCTAGCCTTCATCCTACCACAACAGAGACACGTCAGGAGGTAGGGTACAGTTGTGGAAAAGTCCTAGCACCCTCTCTGCCTAAGCTGCAAATCTCAATCTCTACTATTATCTAATGACTCCATACAATAATAAAAGAAGAATAAAACTAAAATCCTTTTCACACAATGATAATTTATAGAACAAATTTTATCAATCAAGTGAAAAAAAATAACTAGAGAAATTGTTATCAAACAACCTTAAGCATGCTCTTATGTAAGAATAAAAAATAAACCCCAAAACATGCATATTAAGCAATATATATTAATAAATCATAAAATGATGGGATTCAAGTTCATGGTCAATAAGAATTTAATCAATAAATTAAAAGCATAACGTAGTGAAAAATAAAATATGCATTTAATTAAAAAAATAATCGAATCCCTCAAGATCAATGGCTTGTATTTTTCATGCAATTTTCAAATTAGATGTGAACACTCATGAGTCATGTAGTACATACCTTATTTTAAATATTAATCAAGAGTCAATTAAATTTAAGAGGCTTGTGATAAAGCAAAAAACCCAAAAAGAGAATAAGACCGTCCAAAATCCTGCAATTGAAATCTTTGCTTCTTCATCTTTAAGATTTGTGAAATTTTTAAGCACCCAATTGTTTGGCCTCTAATAATAACCCACATAGTGACCAAATAAGATCTTATCAAATGTACGATTGATAAGATCGGCTAAGAAACCTTATTTTTGTGCTAATAAATTTTGTTTTTAGAAAAACTAAAAGACCAAAAATCCTAGCCAAACCTTATTTTTGTCCGTAAAAAAACCTATTTTTCTTTTTTATTTTTTTATTGATCGGCTAAGAAATAGCTAAAGGCTTAGAGGTTTAGTTGGCTACCATAACATATTTATATTGCTAAACTAAGTTATAACCCTAGATACAGCATTTGTATTTTTATTCAATTAAGTCATTGTGAATTTAATTAATTTTTTCACTTTATTTTAGTCTATTTCAATTAAGTCCAACTTAATTAATTATCCTTGTTTAATCTCAATCATGTTACTTAATGTATATGACCCATTAAGGTTATAACATATTGACAAAAAGTACAATTATAATCAAATATCAATTTAAAAATTTATTTATATTTATAGATCATAAACGGTATTTAGAAAAACATCATGACCATCTAAATTTTAGAGAGCCAATTAAAGAATTTGATAAAGCCCTTCAACGATAAGCCTTTCAATACAATACGGTCTTTTTATCAAATATCCCGAATATATCATAAAGCGTGGCGCAATGTCTATTTATGACATTCCATATTAGTTCTCATAATTCATTACTAACCTTATGAATTTAGGAAACTAACTTTCCTCAAATTTGTAATACTTTGGCCAAATACTTTATACGAGTTAATCTAGAATTGAGAACAAGTGAGATACTGCTAGAATTTGACCTTATGCTCAAATATGAAAATAATCAATATATTAAAAATATAATGCAGTGAAAAAATAAATTAGCATTTAATCAGAGAAACAACCAAATCTTATAAGATCAATGTTTGTGTTTTTCATGTAACTTTCAAATTAATTATAAACACTCATAAGTTTAATAGTTACATACCTTACTATAGATATTATAATCAAGAGCTAATTAAATCAAAATCTTTGCTTCTTCACCTTTAGGATTTGTCAAATCTTCAGTTACTCAAGTGTTTAACCTCTAACAGTAATCCACATAGTGACTGAATAAGACTTTATCAAAAGTAAGATTTTTTACTTATGCTAGCAAGTTTTGTTTCTAAACAAAAAGACCAAAGATTTTTACCGAATCTTATTTTTGTAGACAAAGAAAACTATTTTCTTTTTTTATTTTATGAAACGGCTGGAAAGTAGTTGAAGGCTTAGAGTTTTAGTTTGTTAACATAATATATTTATATAGTCAAACTAAGTTGTAATCCTAAATAGAATAATTGTATTTTAATTTAATTAAGTCCTTGTGAACTTAATTAATTTTTCACTTTATTTTGGCTCTTTCAATTAAGTCCAACTTAATTAATTATCTTTATTTAATTCTAATTATGTTACTTAATGTGTGTGACCCATTAGGCTTTTAACATATTGGCAATTAATATAAATCCTAATCAAATATTAATTTGATAATTGGTGCTTGTTTGGCCTGATTTTTTTTCAGCTTATCTATCTCTTAAAAGCAAAAGTCAAGCCAAACAAAAATTTAGAAAAGCTCTTAAGAAAATAAGTAGCTTTTTTTTAAAGAATAAAATCTAAAAAAAAAAAGCTTTAGAAAAAGCTCCAAGAAGGAGCATTCTGTCCTCTTTTTTTGAAAACATGTATTTTTTTTAGGAAAGTTTTTATTTTTGTTTAAAAAATGTCCTCATCCATTAAGAATAATTCCAACATTATCTGTTTTCATTTTTGTATGATTTATTATTAATTATAAATTTTATGTTATATAAAAATACTTTTTATACTTTTTCTAAATAAAAAACTAAAATTAACTTTTTTCCATTATGAACAAAAGAATTTGTGATTAATAGAAAATTATTTACTAAATACCCTTTTATGGTAATTTTAATCAAAATTAGAACTTATGTAAATTATTTTGTCAAACAACTTATTTATAAAAAAGAACTTATAAAAGTAAATTTACCAAACAGATTTAGCTTAATTTTAAAAGCTATTATTTTTCATAAGAGCTTCATAATAGCTTTTAAGTTAAAAAAAGGCTAAGCCAAATAGATATTTGATTTATATTTATAGATTGTGAGCGGTATCTAGCAATACATCATGACCACCTAAATCTTAAAGAATCAATTAAAGAATTTAACAAAGCCCTTCAGCGATAAGCCTCTCATAGCAATACGGTCCTTTCATCAAATATCTCGAATATGTCATTAAGCTTGGCTCGGTGTCGACTTATGATATTCCATATTAGTTCTCATAATTCATGACTAACCTTATAAATTTAAGAAACTAACTTTTCTTAAATTCATCATACTTTGGCCAAAGACTTTATATAAGTTAATCAAGAATTGAGAACAAGTGAGATACATCCCCTCATATCACTTAGGATGAATCCTCTCTTGACCACTCATTCACTTTTGCCTACTTCATAACATACCTAAACACACCCTGTTTAGGCATCTAGTTGCTTCCAAACTTGTAGGAGTGAAATCAAAGTATGTCATTCCCCACACAAGATGACCCGATGTCTCAAGTCTAAAGACTAGTTGCACGACTATCACATGAGAACATATTCGATAGACACTTGAGTGAAATACCAAATGGAGTTCTCATAATGGGTCATGTTCAGTAAACTTGTTCTTTAACAAGCACCCATATATTATCCTCAAGTATCACATATACTTCGATCTATGAGATCAACTACTTACTCCCTAAGTCATGAGGCTTAACATGTACTAGTCTTTGAGCATTGTTAATGCCTTGTCATGATAATACAATGACTAGGAACAATTTTAGAAACATAGCTTTAGTGCATAGTGATTTCATAATTGTAACAACTTTACAATTCTCTTGCAAGGCCTTATATTCCATGGGCTTCATCCAATTAGTGCTTGATAACTCCTTATTATTGCACTAACATGAAGGAAAACCTCTATCACATATAGTTATGCAATTAAGTATACATTGAATGACAATATATATATTTCTTGACCAATCCAATTGGCTTAAGGGCATATACCAACAGATACATCCCCTCATATCACTTGGGGTAATAAATCCTCTATTGAAAACTCATCTACCTTCGCATGCTTCATGGCACACCCAACAATACCTTATTTAGGCATCTAGTTGCCTCCAAATGCATATGGGTGAAATCAAAGTATGTCGTTACCCATAAAAGATGACTTGGTGTCCCAAGTTTAAGGACTAGTTGCATAATTATCAAATAAGAACATACTCCATAGACACTTAAAAGAAATACCAAATGAAGTTTTTATAGCGGTTCATATTCAATAAACTTGTTCTCTAACAAGCACCCACATGCCATCTTCAAGTGTCCTATATACTTCAATCTATGATATCCATTGCTCCCAAGCAATGAGGCTTAACATGTACTAGTCTTTAAGCATTGTCAATGCCTTATTTGACAATATAATGACCAAGAACTATTTCATGAGCGTGGCTTTGATGCATAGAGATCTTATAATTGTAACAGCTTTACAATTATCTTGCAAGGCCTTTATGTTCCATGGGCTTCATCTAATTAGTACTTAATAACTTTTTATTATTGTATTAACATGAAGGAAAACCTTTATCACATATAGTTATGCGATTAAGTATACATTAAATGAAAATATATAATCTTTGACTAATATAATTGGCTTAAAGGTATATACCAAGAATCTTCCACTTGCATTTGAGTCAATTGCTAATGTATCCAATATCTAACTCTTTCATTTAGCAATTGTGT